TATATAATATATATATATGTATATATATATATGTATATATATTAATATAATATGTATATTATATGTATATGTATATAGTATATATATTATATGTATTATATTATGATATGTATTATATATATATATTATATGTTATTATGTATATGTATATGTATGTATAGTATATGTATGTATATGTTAGTATGTATGTATATGATGTAGTATGTAATAGTACTATATGCTAACATTAATTAATGTATTATATGTATTTATGTATATTAGTAGTATTATATGTATATGTATATTATATGTATATATATTAATATATATGTATATGTATATATATGTATATGTATATATATGTTCATATTATATATATGTATATTATATATATTATATGTATTTTATATGTATATGTATATACTATGTATATGTATATTAATGTATATGTAATTTTATGTATATTATATGTATGTATATGTATATTATATATATTAATGATATTATATATATGTATGATATTATATGTATATATCATATATATATATATATATATATATATATATATATATATATATATATATATTATATCCGACCAAGGCAATTAAAAAAATAAGTGGCTCCTCTGGCAGCGCGGTAACCAGGCAAGACCAAACAGCGTTCAAATCTATACGATTATTACACATTGGTTAGAGGGCAAGAAAACGCACGCGCACACACACACACACACACACACACACACACACACACACACACACACACACACACACACACACACACACACAATAGAGAAATGGACTCGGGGTGATTTAATAACATTCAAAATACCAAGAGGAATTAAAAGGGTGGACAGGGACTGATGGTTTGAGAGGCGGGAAACAGGACCACAAGGACACAGCTGGAAGTTGAAAACACAGATAAGTCACAGGGTCGTATTTCTTTTGTCTTAGCGTAATCAGAAAGCGGAATGATTTAGTAGTTGTAGAGCCAGGATCCATACATAGCTTTAAGAAGAGATAAGAGTGGAGTGGACCTCATAGCGACCAGTGAATAGGCGGGGCCAGGAGCTATGAATCGACCCCTGCAACCATGAAGCAGGGAGAGTGTAGATCTAGTAGCGACAAGCGAAGAATGGGGGGGGGGGGCAGAAGCTGTGAATAAACCCCAACAACTACAAACGGGTAAGTACAAATAGGTAAGTACACTCCCACCCCACGGACGGAGGTTGGGGGGGGGGGGTAAGCCATCAGCACAAACACCAGCTTCTCTGTAAATGTTCCACCACTCTCTTTATTGTCACTGTCTTAAGGATAAGCAAACTTTCCCTTGTTTCTTCTGGAGCTTCGCTTCGTGTGGGGGAAAATGGACGTCACATCACTTTCGTGATAGCAAGAATCGGAAATATATGTTTTAATTTTTACTCTATTACTTTTTATCTTTTTAATTTCTCGGAAATTTTTCTTGTTTGTACATTGACAAGCTGTTAAAAACAATGTTGATTCTTTCTGAAACAAATGTTTTTTCTAGTTTGTAAAATGACCTGATATATCTAATTTTTTGATGTGAGACAACTTGTTTTTGTATCTTTCTGCCATTTAAGGTTTGTTAGATAAAATTTGTGCTGTATGACCTTGTAGGTCTAGCGCTTCAATTTTATTATAATAATTATCTATGTCGGACTCGTCAAAGTTTTGAATTCTTGGCAATATAATGTTAAATAATTCTTCTAAACCGTGTGAACATTTACACTCACATTCAGGTTAATGTGGGATAACATTTCTTAGTTAAGAGAACCTCACTAACACTAAAACTTATAATAATTTTCATGAGCTCCATTTTATTTATGGAGAAGCCCTTAATTATTTGGGCCAAGAGCCTTCACCAGAGTCAAAGCACTGGACATGGGTCTGGCTCGGTAGGCCTCCTGGAGTGTTACTCAGTTATATTCTTTGCTGTTATGTATTTTGGAGTGGGACTGGTAAAGTGTCTGTTGAACCTACTTAGTATGGTCCTACTTGATATAGGAACCTGCTTGGTATACAGGCTTTATTCAGAAAAGAGGGTAGCTCGAATGCCTTGGATGAAGAGCCTTTTCACAGCCATCAATTCACCCTCCCTTGAGGAAAATTCCTGAAACAGATCACAGGTGTATCACATATTCCTACACCTCTTAATACCGCATTTAGAAACCACGAGTCCCTTATCCTGACTCCCTTAGTCTCTAATCCAGTACTTTGAATCCTTTGTACGGAGTTTTTTTTTTTTTTAGATAAATACATGGGTGGGTGTGAGTCAGACCTGACTAGCTTGTGCTACTAGGTCAGATGCCGTGCTCCTTCCTTAAGTGAATGTGACCTGACCTGACTAGGTTAAGGCATTGGCTTAAGCTGATGGGAGAATTGAACCTGCCTCGCATGGGCCAGTAGGCCTGCTGCAGTGTTCCTTCCTCTGGAAAGCGCTACACCCTTAAGATATCACAGTGCCTGTGGAATGGGAAGTAATCAGGTTTGATCCATGGAAGGGAAGGGTAGCTTCAATTCTTTAGATTAACAGATGTAGACAAGTATGACTTATTTTTGGTTTTATTGTCATATCAATTACATTCACCAATTTCGACATTTTGCCCAGGTTGTGCATAATAAATAAATTACATCAATGTTTTGGCCAGGATATGAATATGAAATAAATTTCGTCAATGTTTATTCAAAAAATTGTTCACTCGTAACACAGATCATCACACAGAATCTCCTTCAGTGAAAGTTTTAAACGGATAGATACCTATTTTTGGAAAGAAAAATATACATTAATCTATTAGAATATCCTGTATTTCATACAAAAACTCGCTAAGAATCCATGTGATAATATGGATATATGTTGTATGATTCTTGTATTATACAAGCAGGTATGTATAAGATGGAACAAAATTAAATATTTCTGCTTTGTTCCTAGTTTGTTTATACAAGATAAATATTGCCATTTGAGGTCACCAAAGTTGTGATGACCAGAGTCGTATTGACACACACACACTCACACACTTATTTTTATGTGCACAGGCATCCATGCGCTCACTAATACGCTCACGTAAACACAATCTCGCTCACAGCTATAGCCAAGAGAGGCTGCGCAGAAAGCCTTTACATACACAGAACGTATCGTTCCGTGCAGAGGCTCTACTTACAGCGAAACATCGCGTGCAAACATATACTTACTTTGCAAATCGTGTATTTCTTGGACACACACACACACACACACACACACACACACACACACACACACACACACACACACAGTTAATACGCGAGTCCGAGAGCTAGAAGGCTCTTCACCCGCAAACGTGAATGGGTAATTACAAATGGGATAATTATAGCTACACGCACACAGCAACCTTAAAACACTCGATATGATAATGTGGATCATTATATCAACTACAGCCGCATCTCGGCCCGCCACCTCGGCAGGTCCATCATATTACCTCAGAGAACGAATTCTCTGCAGTTTCTCTTCCCAATGTATGCTGGAGACTGGAAGGGTGAATTAGCATACCACAGGTGTTGAGGTGATGCTGGAATCGGTCCTTTCACGAGCGATGTGTGGTTCAGTAGCAGCACCAGCACAGAAGCAGGAGTGTTGGGAATTGTTTATATCCTACTTGTTTGGAGTTCTGTCAGTCAGGATGCGCATGGCTGGCTCGAAACAGGCATCAAATTTTTTTTCTTTACACGCTGGCGAAGATAAGCTGTTATTGCAATATGCAAATCATTCAAAAATGTTACTGTTACACTTTCTATTCTTTCGTCTCTACACTTTTTTAAGACCTTTGTTAGATCGCAGTCAAGCGTATTATAGCTATCGTAGCCATGTTATCGCACGAGACACCAACTAAATGATAAATAGTTATGATTTAAAAGGTTTTACTTTAATATTTCACCGCTAATCTGTTAACTTTCAGGCTGCATTGTATGGAAGAATCGTGCACATGTTATAAGCCAGCGTGCACATGTTATGTACACACTTCACTGTCTAAATAACACGATAGTATATGTAGGAAAACAATACGCACGGACACGTACATAGTTTCAATTACGCAACGCCCACAGTTTCTATTTCACTGATGAATATATATCTTGCTGATAATTTTTTTTGCTTCCCCCCCCCCACACACTGTTTTCAACTAGGTGAGTAAAGCGATAAGCGTTAAGAATATGTACGATATGGGCAAATTAGTCTTAAGAATGCGTAAACCACAAATACGTAGTAACTGAATCCCGATTTGCGGTAACAGAATGATGGCATTTCGATCCCTCTTATATACAAAACCTCCTCACGAATAATTCCTTTTAGACGTTTATCCCCGAAACCCTCACCAGGGATACCCCAGGTACTGAGGAAGGTGTGAAACATGTGGATCCCTCTCGAAATATAGATTTGTTAAAAGTAATTAAATGTTTCTTTTTGACGCTATCGAGACCAACCTACTTGTTACTGGGAGTCTCTTTTACGTCACGAAAACCTTCAGGAGGTTCTAAACCACTGTTCAATTCTGAAAGACGTTTCGGAGCCCCTGATGGAAGATGCGAATCCTTGCCAAGCTGCTGCTGTATTTCAGCTTGCTGGAGAAACTTGATAAAACTCTGTACATATAACGTTACTACTACTACTAATGTATATATACAATGTGAGACTGTCAAGTTGACACATCTCCGCAGCTGTATCTACACAGTACATACGGTAAATTGGTTAGTCAAAAGATGTGATTGATTAGGGATTATTTTTTTGTTTTTTTCCGCCTTTTTTGTGGCTAAATATATTGTATATATATATATATATATTTACATTAATTCAGATTAAGTGACCAATGCCAGAAGTGGTACGCACGCACATACATATGTGGACACCACACACACACACACACACACACACACACACACACACACACACACACACACACACACAAGGAAATAGAACACTGTCACAGTCACATACCAACCCCTACCTCCCCCCCATCCCCACACACACACCTGCAACATTTGTCAACCCCATAACGAATACTTTCATTCATCGTCTTCGTAAAGTACCGAACTCTTTAAATAAATTCAGGAATTCGCTACTAGTGTGTATGTGAAAAAGATTTCGTGGATGGAAAGTATCATGTTTTTGCAGCGGTACGTAAGCTCATCTCTGGTGAGGTCGTTGCTTCACCAATAAGGTGGTCAGTAATAAGGCAACAGCCTGACGAACACTGACACTAATGCATTCACCCAAGTCACCTTTATCGAAAATATTTCGATCCTTGGACCTTGATCACTTCAAATACATGTACAGTACGTAACGTGATCAAAGTCCATGGACCGAAACATTTTCCTTAGAGGTGCCCCTTCAGTGAATTATTAATGATCATTTCCTTAAATGTGGTCAGTAGTTATGTTCAATCTCTCGTGGGAAATTGGTAGTGAATTGGGTACTGGGATTGATTTGGGTACAGGTCAGGGCATATGATCAAAAGATCTGTGCTTTCGAGTGTTATTCGTGGATGAGATTGACTGGTTGGATTGGCTCTTCTCTGCAGTGGGTCTGGTTGGACTGTATATAACTGGACAGGGGTGTTGTCGAGTGCCTGTCTCTTGTTAAGTGGGGAAATTGGTTAATAGTATTTGCTTGGAATGTTTGTGTATTATTAAATGTTTTGTCGCTTACTTTCCTGCGCATTTTCTTGAATATTACGCTCCTCGTGTTGAATGGGGGCCCTTTATTGTCTCGTTGGGTGTCTCCTGTGCTCTTGCGAGGACGTTATTTGGCAAGGAATTTTTATAAGAATATTTTTTTTAACGTCTGTCTCTTTACGATAGTAATAGTTACTAGTTGTCGAAGGCACTTGTCGATAGATACTTGGCCTGTGTGTTTTCTTTTTGTGTGTGTAAAGTGTGCGTTACTGAGTGTATCTTAAGTTTAGTGGGGTTTCTGTCGGGTGTCGTTTAGTGGGGTTTCTGTCGGGTGTCGTTTAGTGGGGTTTCTGTCTAGTGTTGTTTGGTCAGAGCTTTCTCATGAGCGTAATACGCAGAGTATTTGTTTCATCGTTTAGAATGTAGGTAAGGGGACCCTGGAAACAGGATAAATGCCTCCTGATGCGGTTCTGTCTTGTGACAACCTGTCACTGGAACTCTTAGTCGCGTACATGACTGAGTCGTTCCGCTAGCTTGCTAATCCAGCCTTTTCAAAAATTAATAGAAATAATTTGATAAATGTTTTGAGAGTAACTTTCTCAGAGTCTTTAAAAAGACTGGCTTTTGTTGGGGGATTTTACAGTGCATCTCAAGACCGGCAAAGTTTTTAGCTAATTTGGAAAAGACCGTCTTTAGGCGAGTTGAGAATGATGAAATTGTTTCACAATGACTTTTTTTTTTGGGTTATACTAGGTAATCTACACATGTGCTGCTGTGTATGATAATTTATGCAACTGAATTTGTGTACCTATACCTGAATAAACTTACTTCTTACTAATCGTGGCGTATAGCGAATTTGAGTAAAGATATTGAAGTGTAGATCAAGTTTTGAACTGACGTAGACTTCAGTTTGAGCTATTTTGATATGTCGTTGATGTCCCGGAGATAAATGCTTAAATTATGCTTTTCGAAACCAAGAGAGAAGAATATTGCTCTGAACAGTTGAATTTTATGCGGGGGGGGGGGGGTCAACGTCTATTTACATAAAAAGTCAAATAAATAGTCTTAATTTGCATCATCTGGCGATGTAGCACGAAAGGAAAAAAATGTCGAAACAGTTTTAAAAAATCCGGATTAAATGTATTTTAAAAAATCAGGATAAAATAAACATTCGTCTACGAGTCACACTTATAGCACACCAGAGACAGATCTGTCTATTAAATTCTCATTCTCTCTCTCTCTCTCTCTCTCTCTCAAAAAAGATAACGATGAGAGAGCGATAAAAAGCAAGTTCACGTTGTGGAAACTCTAGCTAAGGTTATTCACAATTGGGAGAATCGATTTAAGCATGGCACGTCATGTTCATCACAAGAGGAAGTTGTAGAGGAGAGTTGCGACTCCCAGCACCACCAACTGCACAGGTATCCACGCCTCCACACCTGCAACATAGAAAACGAATAATTTTAGATTTTCAGGAACACTAATGTATATATTTTTTTTTTTTTTTTTTTGGAAAATGGAAAGGGGACGGGATAGGGAGGAGGAAGATAGAAGTTCTGATGGGGCGAGAGAGGGGGAAAAAAAACTTTGAAGTTCTCAGAAGACTGTGATTAAATGGTCATTAAGCACACTGATTCCTTATTATTCAAATTCAAATTCAAACTTTATTCTCTATAAGTATTACAATGCTGAGTTTACAGAATTTGGTTATTGTGTGGTTTACATGTAGTAAAATAATAATTACAGAGTGTACCACTAGAACGCCTAGCATGGCTACGCATTTCGGGCAGACTTATATTAAATCTTAGGTTTAAAATGTTACAGAATTATGAGATAAGTTGGTATTATGGCTAAGTGACTAAATACTAGTTGTGAGTTTAGCAATGTGAATGCTTTTGTTTTGGCACTATACATAGTTTCAGTATTGGAGTATCACAGGCCAACTTTTGACTAGTTAAGATTCATTATTTTGAGATTGAGATTGATATTTCTGTTTATGGTCAAATGGGCGAGTGAGTGTAAGTGTGAACCACAAGGTGGTATTCGTATTATTAGTTGACAGGGTGTATCAGGGAGATAAGATGTTTTCTGATGGTAGTTTTGAAGGTGATGAATGTGTCTGCAGTTTTGGAATTTTCAGGTAGGGTGTTCCAGATTTTAGGGGCTTTGACATACATTGAATTTTTGTAAAGGTTTAGTCGGATACGGGGAATGTTAGAGATATTTGTGTCTGGTGTTGTGCCTGTGGGTTCTGTCACAACTATCAAGAAAGCATTTTAGGTCAAGGTTAATATTGGAATTTAAGGTCCTGTAGATGTAGATTGCACAGTAGTAAGTGTGGATGTACTGAACAGGGAGTAAGTTTAGATCTATGAAGAGTGGGGGGGGGGGTGTTGCCAGGGATGGGATTTAGTGATTATTCTTACTGCGGCTTTTTGTTGGGTTATTATTGGCTTTGTGTGTTGCTGCAGTTGAACCCCAAGCATAGATAGCATAGGTGAGGTATGGATATATAAGTGAATGGTATAGTATGAGAAGGGCAGTTTGCGGCACGTAGTATCGTATCTTGGAGAGGATCCCAACCGTTTTGGATACTTTTTTGGTTATGTGTTGGATATGGGTACACATTTACTCTGAAAGATAAAGGTAAGCCCGTAAGCAAAATTCATTGATACAAGCAAGAACTCTGTAAATAGGTTCAATCACAAGGGTCTAAAAAATTCTTTATCAAAGAAGAATAACATTTTTATATGAACACCCTTTAATTTTCCTTAACCCAACATTTACCTCGGTAATTACGAACAACGAACTGAACCGAAAAGGCCGAAACCGTGGACATTTACGTATCCCATTTCAAGGATAAAAAATATTCTTGACTGGCAGTGAACACGCAACATGCAGTCTTAACCCTTGAGAAGCGAAAGGTTTTAAGGCCAGTTAACCAGTAGCACGCCACAAGTCTCACACAGATATGGGCAGGATCACCAGCAAGCATGTGACATTGGATGAAATGTGTGACTCCTACATTTGAGTTACAGAAAATTACATCATGGTGATTTTTTTTTCAACAAGAGTAAAGAGAAACGTTCAGTCAATCCCAAAAATTTTTGGTCCTCTGTAGGGTCCACCGAGTCTTTCACTTTTCTAAGACAAACTGTGAGGTAAACGTCTGCCTGAGAGTGTGCTTGATGTAACAGCCTGGGCACCAACATACCTTGACATCCTTGTACTGGGCATAAAGATAGGAGACCCACTTTCGGAGCTTCTGAACCACGGGAGTAAACTGAAGTATACTGCGCCGGGGCAAGGAAAGCAAAAGTAAACTAGTGAGCCAGGACCCAGGACCCGCTATAACAGAGGATCAGGACGAGAGCAAGAAGGATGGAGTGCTTCACTTGTATGTTTGCAAACCTAGTTGAGTGCAGCAGGTAACTTGCCCCCACTACTACGTGCTCTGAATAACCCACACGAGTTTAGAGCTTCATATGTGTAAAAATAAGCACTGTCTAATAGGCAATCCTAAATTAAATGTTAGATCAAATGAAGTCGGCCATACAGTATTAGAAAATATTTCGAGTCAAGATAGGAGACAGAAAAATGATAAATTAGTGTTTTGGGAGAAGAATATGGAGTGGACATTACGCCGCGCCTGAAAACTATACAGAAACGCTACTGGGCCGGCAAGCTCTCTTAATTAACTGGGGGTAAACTTTAAAAGTGAAGCTCTCTGATTAGTTTTTGGCGTACGACATCAACATTTTCATTCTGCGCTGGACAATTAAGCAATTTATTTGCAGGAATGAAATACCTGCGTGTAAAGTTTAGAAATTTGAAACCCAAAACAATTTTGTAAAGTGCACATAAAATTAGTGGTCGACTCATACGACATTCTAGGTGAACTTTTCTGATAGTTTTCGTTCAGCACTTACCATCTTCTATAAACAATGAAGGCATTTGAAAAAAAAAAGCAGCATGGTGTGAAAAATGACAATTCTCTCTATAAACTTTTAAAACCTCAACCTCCAAGTGAAAAGTATCAATAAAGGTTTGCTTTCAACCATATAACTTTTTTATTAGCTTGTCGGGTTTAAAGTCTCTTCAACATAAAGCAAATCTGTTTGTGACTTGATAATGCCCACTGTGTGGGCGAAACGTTGCCAAAAATATCGTATTACACTGTATTTGTCTTTACCCGCCAGCACGAAGTAAAAAATTGGCCATACCAACTATAACTATCTTTCATGGACTTGTATAGAGGACGACGATGGTACACACCTCAGCCAATGTCAAACTTAATAACTTTGTATGAGGTGCGCGGACTACAATACATTTGCTATAATCAGAGTGAATAGAAACTCGCTGGTCTACAGCAAAAGAAAAAATTCTTTGGAAATAAAATTTAGTCATTCTCTACTAATTCTGGGTCACTGAATGAGGAAATGATGCTAAAAATTCCAAAGTTATGAAGACGGACTCGGGCCGGTTGTTATCTTTTGACCTGGGAAAAAGAGGTTAAAGGTTCTTCAAACTCGGTGCGTAATTACTTAAACCATGTATAGTTCTCTATAGTCTCAGTGCAAAAGTATTGAAAAAATAAATACAATTTTCTTTACCTGTTCCATTGTTATATAAAAAAAGAAACGGTGAAATACCTTTTTTTTTCTACGAGGCACAAAACTGTTAAGAAATTTTAGACCAGTGATTTTTAAACTGCTGCGATGAGACCATTTTCAATGTTTCTTAGTTTTTAGTTATGTAGGTTTCTCTTAAATGTATAATTCATAATATATACGTGTATACACACGTACACATTTCCTACATACATGCATAAAAGCATGTGTGGGCAGTGTGTCACTAACATGGTACTTGAAATTCCTCTGCCATCAATCCTTATATAAAAGTCATGTTGCTTCGTATGGCGTTCACGATGGTCCAGATATAATGTTCCTTCACAATTACACTCCTTCCCGCGGAGTCATAACATTCAAAATATATCTAATGACGCTGGTATGTGCTAGACAAGACGAAATCAACCTGATAATACCAGCCAGGCAACTAGTAGTCTCTGTTTGACGATAACAAGAACCATGATGTATGTAGCAGCAACATCAGCAGGAAAGTAACCGTTATATAATGTGAACATTAAAAGGGGATCCCCCCCTTTCCCCCTTTTACTTTTAATCTTCCCTGCTAGGATCGACCCTCCTGACCCGTACCTTGTGCCACGGTTGTTAGTGTCCTTCACGTATGAGAGTAAACATTATGAACATACATTATATACCCTTTAATTATTATTACATTCCTGGGGAAACGTTAAGCCCGTTGAAGTTATACAGTGCCAGCTATACAGTGCCAATTTTATCCGTTGAAAGTTTTTGCATAATTAACAGGTCTGTAAAAAGTTATCCCGTTTGTCAGAATTTTATAAAGTACGTAAATTTTTTTTATGGTTATTTACCAGGATGATTACGAATCAGTAATGCGGAATAAAATAATTTATTAAACTTTGAACTGAAGATTCAAAACATATATATATATATAAAATATATATAGATATATATATATATATATATATATATATATATATATATATATATATATATATAATATTGGTTGCCAGTTTGTGATCCTGTTAACATGAAGGAACTCATTATTAATTTGTCGATTATTTTTACTAATAACTTTATCAGTGTTACGCCCCTCGTTGGTAGACCTACACGGTCAAATGTGTGTGTGTGTTTTACTGGCGTTTTCACTTATGTTATCTCTATCTCCATTAGTAGCTAAAATGGAGATATTGTACTTTATAATATTATCTGGCCTTAATTTATTTAGCTGTGTGAATATATAGGATGTCTCGGTGATCTAAACTACTGGTACAGCTGTTTAGTACCCGGCTGACGTTTAGTCACCATTCCCACTCAATCCAAGGTGACGTCTGTCTGGACCGTCTATTGACGGTCCAGACAGACGTTCACCCTCATCTTTGCGAGTAAAGCACCTAAATTCCTGGATTAGCCTTCTGGTCCCACATGAGGTTCCCTAGTAACCCTCCAGCACCTGGAACGGTATCAGACAGAAGCCTCTCGGATGAAGAGTGTTGCTGTATTGGAGACACTGGTGATTGTCTCTAGCTCTGCCAGGAGCGGGTTTAAGCGGTATTAGTTCAAAGAGGACGGCGAGAAAGTCATGGGAGACAGGCCCTGATAAACTGTTTGCGAGAGTGTTAAAGGAATGTAAAGAGGAACTTAGCATACCTTTGGCTAATATTTTCAACATGTCACTACTAACTGTCATAGCGCCTGATAAGTGGAAAATGGCAAATGTAATACCTATTTACAAGGCAGGTGACAGGTCCTTAGCTTCGAACTATAGACAAATAAGCCTTACATCCATAGTGGGAAAATTCATGGAATCAATAATTGCCGAAGCAATTCGTAGCCATCTTGGTAGGCATAAATTGATTAATAAATCTCAACACGGTTTTACAAAGGGGTGTTCCTGTCTTATGAATTTACTAATTTTTTTCACCAAGGTGTTTGAGGAGGTAGATCATGGTAATGAATATATTGTGTATATGGACTTCAGTAAGGCTTTCGATAGAGTTCCACACCAGAAGCTACTGAGGAAACTTAAGGCACACGGAATAGGTGAAATTTTTTCCCGGGTAGAGGAATGGCTGACAAATAGGCAGTAGAGAGTTTGCATAAATGGGGAGAAATCAGAATGGGGGCACGTCACAAGTGGAGTTCCAAAGGGGTCAGTGTTGGGCCCGTTGTTGTTCACAATTTACATAAACGACATAGATGAGGGAATAAATAGCGATATAAGCAAATTTGCTGATGACACCAAAATAGGCCGTCCAATTTATGCTAATGAGGACACTAGAGCGCTCTAGGGATTTGAATAGACTGATGCAATGGTCGGAGAAGTGGCAGATGCATTTTAATATAGACAAATGTAAAGTTCTAAATGCTGGACAGGAAAATAACCATGCCACATATAAACTAAATAATGTAGATCTTAATACTACTGATTGCGAAAAGGATTTAGGAGTTCTGGTTAGTAGTAATCTAAAACCAAGACAACAGTGCATTAGTGTTCGCAATAAAGCTAACAGAATCCTTGGCTTCATATCAAGAAGTATAAATAATAGAAGTCCTCAGGTTCTTCAACTCTATATATCCTTCGTTAGGCCTCATTTAGATTATGCTGCACAGTTCTGGTCACCGTGTTACAGAATGGATATGCAGTGGAAAACGTACAGAGGAGGATGACAAAGTTGATCCCATATATCAGAAATCTTCCCTATGAGGACAGACTGAGGGCCCTGAATCTGCACTCTCCAGAAATGCGTAGAATTAAGGGGGATATGATCGAGGTGTATAAATGGAAAACGGGAAAAATAAAGAGGATGTAAATAGCGTGCTGAAAATTTCCGGCCAAGACAGGGCTCGCAGCAATGGTTTCAATTTGGAAAAATTCAGATTCAGAAGGATATAGGAAAGCACTGGTTTGGTAATAGAGTTATGGATGAGTGGAACAAGCTCCCGAGTACAGTTAGAGGCTAAAACGTTGTGTAGTTTTAAAAATAAGTTTGATAAATACATGAGTGGGTGTGAGTTGGACCTGACTAGCTTGTGCTACTAGGTCTGATGCCGTGCTCCTTAAGTGGAAGTGACCTGACTAGGTGGGTCATTGGGCTAATCCGGGGGGGACGACATGGACCTGCTTCGCATGGGTCAGTAGGCTTGCTGCAGTGTTCCTTCTTTCTTATGTTCAAAAACTCCTTGAACTGTAGAACATTCCTAATCCCACCTAGTGTGTTATGAAAGTTGTTACGAATCGTGGTCGAGTAGTAAATACTCTACGTCCTGGATACGCTACTGCGTACGAGTGAATTATTATTGAAGTTTCGAGTCTTCTGACTCGAGCAAAGTGAATCTTACGATACTAGAGCCATTCGGTATTTAATATTGTTTACTACTTTATTAAGCGAACTCAGTGTAAAATTTTAATAAGTACTCTGTTACGTAGCAACCTTTTTAAAGAATTAATATAAACCCATTCTATGGTTTATTAAGAAACTTAGTAAAAACCGGAAAGAAATATTGTGATTGTTTCCCAGTGAGCCCTTGAATGATTTCGTTTAGAGCAGAATATTCGGTTCTGTTTATTTGTTGCTAAAGAAGTTTAAGAAGTGCCTTGGACGCAGCAATCAGTTATTCTTCTTTTTGTCTGCACATTAACGAATTTGTGCTTTGCCTAAACTGTTATGGTGACGGCAGTGGTCATGGTGGTAGTGGTGATTGTGGTGACGCTGCCTTTCTCACCATCTCTCTCATCAAACACATTAACCAGATAATGGCTCTCATTACTCTACCATCTTCCTCTCCCTTTTCCCCCTCACACTTTTTTTTTATCACATCTCACGTCTCGCCTTCCGTCTTGTCTGTCATTTGCTCATTGGTTACTCTTTCCCAACTTTAGCATTATATATATTAATGATTTATTGTTCATTTGATACTGTTATAATCAGTATATTATACTCTTTACGGATTTCTGATTCTTTCACTTTGACTTTCCCGTTATCCATATCCCAAGCCCCTGACGAAGTATATGGAGCATGAAAGGCCTCTGATGTCATTTAACCCCCCCTGTGTCCATTTGCTAATTCTTCCAGCAGTAGTATCGATATTTTTGAAAGTATGTTCTTACATCAAGTGAATATTTCTGCATGTCTCTGAAAAATAATCTAGTTGCTGTTCAGTTTATGCACAATTTTTTTCTATCTTCTACTGGTATAATCTTTTTTGTTTTATCAGCTCAGTTGTGACTTCTTATGACCTCCGCTGCCTGTCTAACACATTCTCTGCCTAGCACCTTCCCTCTCTAGCATCGATAATATCTAGTGTCATTTCAGCATGAAAATAGTTCTCTTTCGTTCATTATTCATCATTTCTTCAGGGGCAACCTTGATGCTGGTGGAGAGGACTCTTGAAAAAAACATGATTGCTTTTCATTTCCAAGGTTCTGTATGACCTTCACGCGATTAGCACTTCCCCATGAATAAAATATATTTCTACTACTAATAGTCTCCACCTGTTGCGACATTGAAGATATTTGTGAAGTAATGTCCCTGTTCCTCCTGCAGGGGGCGCCCTCTCTCGCGTCTTATATCGTCCTCCAGCCTCCTCCGGTCTTCCCGCTGGCGCGTCCCCTCCAGCTGGTCCAGGTCCTCCGTCTCTTCAAGGTCGTCGGGATTGAGGATCTCTTCATCCTCGTCGCCGGGCTCAGACTGGTTCTCCAACTTGTCTCCCTGGCCCTTCCCTGCCACGCTGTTGGTCGTCTTGTAGTGAAAGTCTGCAGAGAGAAATGATTATTAGAATTCGTATGGTGATAACGACAGTTTATATATATAAAAATACATGCATTGATCAAAACATTTATTAAGGAAGCATTTCGCCATGAGTGGCTTCTTCAGTTCGCCACTCGTGGCGAAGAGTTTTCTTAATGTCTTCATCAATGTACAGTGTCTCTTATTGAAAGAAAAGATTACTTCTGTGATGGGTCTGTCCTTTTAGTATATAGGTGGAAAAGAGTAAATTTATCAATATACATAGGTCAGTACGTCCGTAAACGCAGCTTTCATGGAAGGGCAAGCCAAGCTAGCCATAGCAACATGACCATCTGGGCCTGAGCAGAACATTCGAACGCCTTGGGGAGGCAGTCATGAAAAGCTGAAATCTTAGTGCCAGATCGAGGAAGCCTAGACCTTGGACATGCATAACCCACTAAGTAATAAATGCAAACTCCTACCCACGTATTATTCCTCCACTCAGTACTATAAAATTCCCTAGGCAGTGACAAGAGGACTTTGATTTTCACAAGCAAGTCAAGTGGAGTGACATCAGACATCATTGAACCAACACTAGTCACTCCACATCCCAACTTGTGCAGTCATCGGGACGAGAAGAAATCTCTTAAGCAGATTTCACGCATCCAGAATAGTCACACTAGGCAATTTGCTCAGGATGTAAATTTAAATTTCACTTTTCTCAATGGATTTAGGAAGACCAAGAAGCCATATATGAGTTTGGGCCATCGAGAAGAACTCTGAAGAATGGTGTGAATTTTGTATTGTGATGGATTTATGTTGCACCGTGATTGCTCTGCTTTTCTTAGACTGCCAATGTACGACTGATGGTCAGTGTCTTTTCGGGTCACTGCTTCGGTGGCCAAAAAAAAAAAAAAGTGCAAAAAGGAAAATTTAGTTCCCTCTGTGGGACAGTGTCAAAGGCCTCCGCTGGTGACCTCCATTAAACAAATTAAATATTACTAGCTGGTACCCAAAAATATATTAGATAATAAATTTTGCACGCGTTGTATGTGTGCGCGTGCGTGCGCGTATGTATGTGTTTGATTTATACCTACACGTCTCATAACTTTCTGTAATATTGTAGTATTAAAACTACTGAAATTCTGGCAATGCGTGAAATATTTATTTGCAATATATTTTTGGATATTAGCTATTAAAATTTCAATGGTTTAACACTGGACACCGGCATAACTATCAATACTACGTCTGTACAGCTCTTAATATTGCCACCTTTATTTTCACTACTACAATAAAAACTCGTATTTAACTGATATCATTAATATTTAAAATTAGTACTGCTATTACTTAATAACAGTTCATATTATATATCGTCGAAGGGAAATCAAATAGTAACTACCTGATTTTTTTCTTCCTCCTAGGATTTAGTTTATAATTTAAGAACGACTCATCCGTTTAATTTTTTTTTTTAGGTTTGGCGTATTGTAACCAGAAAAAGATGCAACTATTAGCTTGTGCACGTTCCCGCTGGGAATATATTATACATGCCATTCCAGATTTTGATTTCCGTTTGATAAGTTGAGAATGACTCTTCCAATCGGCTTTAAACTTTCAACAGCGATGTATCCTACCGAGAAGGTTAGGATTGCTACTGAAGTTCTGAGGGAAGAAAGACTGTCCAAATTAGGGAAATGTCACCCAGTTCATGGGGAAATGTCACCCAGTTCATGGGGAAAGTCACCCAGTTCATGGGGAAAGTCACCCAGTTCATGGGGAAAGTCACCCACTTCATGGGGAATGCTCTATAATTCCAACAACCCCCCTTTCCCTCCCCTTCATAGCCAATGTGTCCCTGGCGTATGAGCAGCGGCCATCATGGATGTTTAATAAAGCTTGACGATAAATCACGTGTGTGGGGTCAGTGAAAGTCTCTCTGGATTATTCGGTATTCCTGAAGGGATGCCTTTAAGTGGTTGTCTGAATTTGTTTTTTTCTTCCCTCCAGGCTTTCGTTTACACCTCGAAAACACATCCTATTAACTTCAAAATATCGAAGCTGCTGTACTGCAACCGCAGGAATGTTTCTGCAGCTATTGGCATGTGCTGGTGCCTCTGGTTAATTTTATAGACCTGTGATGACTCGAATGACTCACGAAATCGTAATGACACGATTGAAAATAAACCATACCACGGGTAGGGATAGAACCCGCGATCAGTGTCATAAAACTCCAGACCGACGCACTAGCCCATGAATAAAATATATTTCTACTACTAATAGTCTCCACCTGTTGCCACATTGAAGATATTTGTGAAGTAATGTCCCTGTTCCTCCTGAAGACTTCACCTTACGAAACAAAGCAAAATGCGACAGTAATTATGGACAAGGTAGATTATAGTGGAAAGATGATCATGTTATTAGAAGACAGGGGTACTTAAGTGCCTCTTAAACTTTCTCAAAAAAAAACAAAAAAAAAACAAAAAAAAAAAAACTTGTTTTCCATATGTTTTGATACTCATCACTAGACTCTCGATAACCCTTGCTTTAAGCTTTTTTTTTTTTTTTCCCCATTTGGTATCACGAATATTCATTTTAAAGTAATACTCCTTGCATAAAAACGTATTAGCTCCTTAGCTAATCGATTCATTTTTAAAGCATTATTGCTAAAACGTTTTTAGGGTGTATCTTTGTCTTAAAACTTTCTATTCCTTCAGTGCTCGTGTCGATCTGAACTCTCACGACACGTCTTCCAATACTATATCCCTCCAGGGAAGTGCCTTGATGCTGATGATGGGTTCACGATCCAAGAATTGGATCTGTCCTCGATTCTAATTGTTTTTAATTCCTCGGGTGTCTTGGAAGCCTTTTGCTAAAGAAAACGAGAAGCAAAAATATCTAACAACAAGAAATTGAGTCAATTTCACCCTGTCGCAAGAAATGTCTTATGGTTTCAATATTAAACCGAGAAGATTAAGATAAAGCTCACCCTAACTATTACCATGAATAAATATGTAAGCGAGTTTACAGTGAGCAGTTTTATACAGTATGTTCATGACAACTTCAATGCGTGAAGAACCTACTCCAGTAGCAAATACTTTAATGTTAAAGTGTGTAGTAGTACTTGAGTTCCTGGTTTGCAGTGAATGAGACACACTGCTACACTAAAATCTGCTTATGCGGATTTTACATTTATTAAAATGATTATTGTATCTGAATTCGAGTCTCACCTTTGAAGAGCTTGTCCAAGTAGGAGGGAGGGTTTGTGGGCGCCGGTGTGGGAGGCTCCGTCTCTGTCGGACATAAATGGAAATTAATAGATAAAAATATACATTTATTTATATGCTTTGGCTGGTAAAGGTAACGAAATATTATGTAGAGAAACAATTTATGTCGTGCTGAATAGGTAAAACTTATGATTTTGGCGCTCTTCTTGCCGAATAAGGCAAGCGAAAATTTGTGTATGGAATAAATTCACAAAAATCATTCTGAACCTAACGAAAAAAATATATTTCATTGTTTTTAAATTATTGTAAAGTTATCTAAAATATATTTAGTTGGATTCTATATCGTGCCGAATAGGTAAAATTAAACAATTAGCAAGATATATTTTTTCCATTATGTTAATTTAAAAATTAATAATTTTGTACCAAAAGAATCTTAGAAAACTTGACTAATACTATAACGAGCACAATTTAATTTAGCTTAATCCAGCTAAATATATTTTAGATAACTTTACAATAATTTAATAACAATGAAATATATTTTTTTCGTTAGGTTCAGAATGATTTTTGTGAAATTATTCCATACAGAAAATTTAGCTTGCCTTATTCAGCAAGAAAAGTGTTGCTATTTAAGCCAAAATCGCAAGTTTTACCTATTCGGCACGACATAGAGAAAAAATGTAAATAGAAAGAGCAGGAAATAAAAAATTAATAGGAATGAGGCTGGAGAGGATGCATCTCTGCTGCGTGGTCAGCGGTACGTGACTACACAACGTTGGCCCTCTGACTCAACGAATCATATTCCATCAAGCCAAGTTTAGGTTTCTGGCCTTATCATCGATGGGCACACCGATGGGCACATCATCGATGGGCACACCCATCTTACTCATGACCATCTCACGGAGAGGCACCCTGTTCCATTCTGTGAGAACTGTCAGGCTCCAATTTCAGTTTGTCATATTCAGTTGGACAGTCCTTTCAACAAACACTCAGAATTTACCTCCGACTCCGTCACTACTCTAACACCCTTAATTTATCTTCCTTTCTCGATGATGGACCCACCTTTGACTGAGATTCCCTCTGACTTTTTAACAGCAACCGATTTATTACACAAACCTTGATACTTCCTTTAGCATTCCTCACAGCCCTTTCTAGCTCTACCTTTATTATGACTTAAGAAATCGTAATGACACGATTGCAAATAAACCATACCCCCGGCCGGGATTGAACCCGCGGTCATAGAGTCTCAAAACTCCAGCCCGTCGCGTTAGCCACTAGACCAGCTAGCCACAATAAGATTCGTCCAACTAGGTATATTTCTACACCATAGGAAAGTTAGCACAGGCACCTCTGTGACCACAAATGCATTTGTGGTCACAGAGGTGCCTGTGCTAACTTTCCTATGGTGTAGAAATATACCTAGTTGGACGAATCTTATTGTGGCTAGCTGGTCTAGTGGCTAACGCGACGGGCTGGAGTTTTGAGACTCTATGACCGCGGGTTCAATCCCGGCCGGGGGTATGGTTTACCTTTATTATCCTCTACACCCCTGGTTCCTCTCTGCTCCAACAAAACCCTGTGCCCTGCAGCGCTGTATGAACCTAGTGGGTTTATAATAACCAAGAAGATGCAAGACGAAGGGAAGAAGAACGATTTAAACTTTACAGAGCCTCGGAACCAATAGGTCATTCATCGCTGTGGTCAATAAAAGTGTCCAAACATGCATAAATGGATACCACTCACTTGCCTGACGAAACTAATCTCTATTCCCAGAGTCACACCTAGGAACATATAAAACATTGAATATCGTGTAAAAAAAAATAAAAAATTATTTAAAGTGGTCCATTAAAACTTCCTCGAAGTCCGAGAGGTACCCTACACTACCAGCAAAATGAAGTTAAAAAAGTCACGGGGGAAACACCTTTGAAATGTGTAAATTTGCGGTACACACATTTTTTTAGAGAGGGAGGGGGGGGGGTTATGGATCACCCGTAGTTTCTTTTTTTGGGAAATTTTACTATATGACCCTTATGTATTTGCGATTAGTTAAGATTAAAAATAGGAAATGGGGGGGAAAGGGGGAAAGTTGCTGACCCTGCAGAGTTTGTTGCTCGTCCTAGGGTTCAGTGGACCCGCCACTTAGCAAGCCGAGAGGGAAGAGGCAAGACAAAGGGCAGAGGCAAGACAGGGTAATAAATTTAGAAACTGTTACCAGTGAAAATCTGACAGTAAGGGGGAAGGCTACGCAAGAAAGAGATGGTGTTTAGGACATAAGACTAAGTAAAATGAATGAGGAAGATGGTGATGGTGAGAGAGGAGTAATGTGGGGTAGAGGGACAGTGGGAGGAAGCATACTAGGTTTTTGTTATTAAAGCCGAAAAAAAAAACAAAAAATGAAAGCGAGAAACACACAATTTGGTTAAGCGATTTATATCCCTTTTACTACAAAAATGGAGAGAGAGGAGAAGGGCAGGGGCAGACAGGGCAGAGACGGACAGAATGTGACTTTTTCCTTTCCCCGAGGCTCTCACGCTGATAAGTGAGTTTCCTAATTGTGGAGGAAGAAGGCAGGCAAAACGCCACCGTAAGAACGGCAGGAATGGAGAGTGATTGGAAGATATAAAGATTTTCCTTGGCGGGGAATTTCTGTTAGTTTCTTTGTCTCTCACGAATACTGGGAATGGAGAAGTAACGCGGGCAGGGAGTAGGATCCTTTGTTCTTCGAGAACCACTACAGGAGTACATACTACGTCTGACAACACAACCCATGGACAGAGTACATCCTACGTCTGCCAACAAACCCTAGGAGTACATCCTACGTCTGCAACACAACCCACGGCAGGAGTACATCTACGTCTGTAGGCTATCCTACAGCTGACAATTCAACCCTCGTAAGTGTATTTTACGTCTGGCAACACAACCCATACCAAGAGTACATCCTATGCCTGACAACAACCCACAAGAGTACATCCTAAGTTTTGCAAAGCAACTCATGCCTGATGCGCATTCTACATCTGGCAAAACTGACAAAACGAAAGGGAACGCAACGACACGCAACGTAGCATTGTGTTGCCCTGCAACACAACGCCAGGCAACACGGCGTGGAGGGCCAATAACTCAAGAGAAGTTTACTGAGCCCAACTTTTGGCGGCTGTGATTTACGGGGCTCGACGCGCGCTATTACAACATTTGATTAATAAAATATTTTGTTTGTCTATTACGGCGAAGTTCTGCATGTTTTGACGTGAGGCAGGCAATTGATACTGCCTGGTGAGATGGTAGGTATTACCTGGTGAGACAGGTATTATCTGGTGAGATACAAGGTATAGGTGATAGGCGATACGATCTGGTGAGTTGAATAATAGATAAGACCTGGTGAGATAGTTGATAAGACTAGGTGAGATAGAAGATAAGACCAACTGAAATAGAAGATGCGATCACGTGAAGTAGACGGTAGATAAGACCAGGTGGGATAGACTGCACACACACACACACACACACACACACACACACACACACACACACACACACACACACACACACACTTGGTCCACTCTGACCTACTCATTGGTGGAGAGACACACCGAGTGTCACAATTTAATCCTAATGCAACCCTTAAAAAATGCTTATTAGAATAACCACTAGGGAAGCCTTCCCGTCACACGGTAACATTCATTAAGATTAACAATCTTACACTCGGCTCCAGAGGGGGTGAGTGAGGTGTGCCTGTAAGGATCGTGCTCAAGCTCTTGGTCCAGCCGTTAAATCTTCAAATCAGTTGACTTTGTGACTAATTTTTTCTCCGCTCTTTCTTCAGTGTGTGGTTGCAGGGATCGAGTTTCAGCTCCTAGCCCCTCGGCTGGCCACTACTGCGTGAACCCATTCCTGGCTTCGAGAGCCTTATCCTACCTATTCTTAAAGCTATGTAAGGATCCTGCCTCTATACTACACTGTCCATGTTGCTCTACTTCCTGGTCCCTCAAAGCTGTATTCAACTAATTGAGGTTTCAGGGGTCGATTCATAGCTCCTGGCCCCGCCTCTCCACTGGTCGCTACTAGGACACTTACTCCCTGCTCCGTGAGCTATGTATGGAACCTGCCTCTTCTCCTATGCCAAATCAAAGTCGAGAACAACGTCCAGTATTGGGCCCCTACTTAAACAAGATGGGTCCTACACAGATGACAGCAAGGAAATGAGTGAGCTACTCAAGTCCCAATATGACTCAGTTTTTAGCAAGCCGCTAACCAGACTGAGAGTCGAAGATCAAAATGAATTTTTTATGAGAGAGCCACAAAATTTGGTTAACACAAGCCTATCCGATGTTATCCTGACGCCAAATGACTTCGAACAGGCGATAAATAACATGCCCATGCACTCTGCCCCAGGGCCAGACTCATGGAACTCCGTGTTCATCAAGAACTGCAAGAAGCCCCTATCACGAGCCTTTACCATCCTATGGAGAGGGAGCATGGACACGGGGGTCGTCCACAGTTACTAAAAACAACAGCATAGCCCCACTCCACAAAGGGGGCAGTAAAGCAACAGCAAAGAACTACAGACCGATAGCACTAACATCCCATATCATAAAAATCTTTGAAAGGGTCCTAAGAAGCAAGATCACCACCCATCTAGAAACCCATCAGTTACACAACCCAGGGCAACATGGGTTTAGAACAGGTCGCTCCTGTCTGTCTCAACAATTGGATCTCTACGACAAGGTCCTAGATGCACTAGAAGACAAAAAGAATGCAGATGTAATATATACAGACTTTGCAAAAGCCTTCGACAAGTGTGACCATGGCGTAATAGCGCACAAAATGCGTGCTAAAGGAATAACAGGAAAAGTCGGTCGATGGATCTATAATTTCCTCACTAACAGAACACAGAGAGTAGTTAACAGAGTAAAGTCCGAGGCAGCTACGGTGAAAAGCTCTGTTCCACAAGGCACAGTACTCGCTCCCATCTTGTTCCTCATCCTCATATCCGACATAGACAAGGATGTCAGCCACAGCACCGTGTCTTCCTTTGCAGATGACACCCGAATCTGCATGACAGTGTCTTCCATTGC